TTCTTTGAATAAATAATTAAAAGACAAGATGGCCTGCTATTTGTAATAGAAACTCTTACTGGAAAACGTGATTATTAGAAGCCTGGCGTCGAGAACACTGAAGATGCAGCAGGTAAGGAATTTTACATTAATTTTATTGTAAATAGAAGAACCTGATGCAACACTTTCCATCAAACAATTTAAGCATATGCTAGAAGGACGAGAATTTACGATTTTCACAGATCACAACCCAATTATATTCACATTTAAACAACAACAACAACAACAACAACAACCAAAAAAAAAAAAAAAAAAAACAAGATAAAGCATAACCTAGACAATTAAGACAACTCCAGTATATTTCCCAATTTTCGACAAACGTAAAATACATAACTGAGAAAGATAATATTGTTGCAGACTCTTTGTCTAAAATTGACTCAGTTTCGGACATCGATTATGACAAAATTGCGGATGAACAAATCAATAATGAAGAATTAAGAAGAATTAATAGCATTAAATAATTTATATATATATTTCAATTTTTCAACTTTTATTTGATTTGTTTTTGCAAAGATAGCATAGTTACGTTTCTCATGTTTATTTCAATTACTTTGAGTTCTATTTCATAATTCCAGTTAAGATTACTTCTATTCATAATTCCAGTTAAGATTACTACTGTTTATTATGTTTATTTTTGTAAAAATGGTCTTGAATTAACATGCATAAAAGCGAAGGTGTCGGGGGATATTTATTCAAGTATGTTGTAAATTTTACTACATAAATTGGCTTTTCACTCAAATTTCTAAAAGAATCTTGTATTAGCGAAAGTGCTTCGTTCAGAATGAGTTCTTTGATACTCTACTTTGGCTATAAATCCCATCACTTCACGGAACTACAATTTTGGCCTAACTTAATTTCTCAGTTTGACATCATCATTCTTACTTGAGTAAAAGGCGAAACACCTTCGCATTTATTAATTATTGTTCATTGAACGGGAGTTGTTTGGTTCCCCTTGAAAAGTCAACTAATTTCCAATCAATAGGGATAATACTTATTTTTCAGTTTTTTAATTTCTTTTTCAAAGTTTGAAATTTTGTTATTCATGATTTAAATTCAAGTCCCCTTAAAAAGTTTTTTTCGTGATTTACATCCAAGTTTCTTTAAAACACAATTTTCGGAATCAAACTTCCTACATATGGGTTCCCTCTTTTTGATACATTCTACTAAATTTATTTTAGGAGATAATATAATCAATATTTCTTTAGTAAATATATATATATATATATATTACATAAAATTTATATTATAAATTAATAATATTTAACAATGAAGAATTAATAGCAAAAATTTAAAATTTAAACAATATCCACTACCCTCGGGAAAAATAATCTGGGGTGATATTTCAACTTCAACCATTCGACTGTTCATACCACAACCACTTCGAACAAATGTTTTCCACAAAATACACGATTTGAACCATCCTAGCATCAAATCATCAGTGAAACAAGTAGTATAAAGATTCATTTGGAAGAATATTAAAAAAGATGTTAGAGAATGGGCTAAAACTTGCATTAACTGTCAGTAAAGAAAAATTATCCGACACATTTTCCAAATTTAACTCATTTGAAAAACCTCATGAAAGATTTAGAATAATTTATATCGATATAATTGGACCACACCCACTATCACATGGAAATAACTATTGCTTAACATGCATCTATCGTTTTACTTGCTGGGTGGAAGTTATACCGATAGAAAATATTACTACAGAAACAACCACAAAAGCATTTTATGCAAACTGGATTTGTCATTTTGATGTTCTTTTCAATGTGATCACAGATAGAAGGAATCAGTGCAGATCAGAACTTTTCAGTCTTATGAAAAAGGTAAAGAAGATTAATTAAAATGCAAAAACGTGAATTAAAAGGCAAACAATAACTTCATACCATCCGCAAAGCAACGGAAAAATTGAAAGACTATACAGAAAATTAAAAGCAGCCATTAGAGCTCCCAGTTCAGTCAAATGGAGTGAAACTATCCAACTATACTCTTTGGTATACGCGCATCCCTACACGATGATACCAATTACTCCATCGCAGAAATGGTTTAAAGCTACCAGGAGAATTCTTTCAACAACCAAAACCAAATTAGAACCAGACACTTTCACCAGCGAACTCCGAAAACAAATGGAACAATTAAAACCAATTAAAAGTTAATGTAAAAGTAAACAGAAGTTATTTTTCCATTTTAACAGCTTTAAATATTATTAAAATCTTGTAGTTTAAATAATTTAAATAGATGAACATTAAGGTATTTGTGAACGGCAATATTTGAAACCAGACTCGAGTGCCACGTGCGACTCTCGCACGAAGGTTTTTTTATTTATTTATTTAATTTATTTATTTTAATTTTTAAATGTTAGTATTCTTTCTTCTTGTTGTTTTATATGTCGCCATTTGAGTGTTAAATAAAGTTTTTTTCTATGTTCCATCATTGGAGTTGCTTCGTATTGCCAAAGAAGTTTCACAGTCATAATTATTTTGGAGGCACGGTGAGATCGAATAATCGTGCGTATTTTTATTTTATTAGTTCATCACTGAACAAAATATTAGTGATACCAGATTATTACCTTCTGTTAATATTGAATTCCTTTATTTTATTAGTTCATCATTGAACGCAATATTAGTGATACAAAATTATTACTTCCTGTTAATATTGAATTGTTTTATGTTAGTTCATTACTGAACACAATATTAGCGATACCATATTATTACTTCCTGTTAATATTGAATTGTCTTATTTTATTACCATATTGGATTTTATTTTTAATATTCACTTTAGTTGTCCAAACAGTAGATATATTGTATATATTGCTTCATGTTGTTATTCTTATTTTAGTCACAATGTGGTAGAGAGAATGAACTTCATATAATTTAAATATTTCATTTTTGAGGTATACGTATTTAACAGAATGCATTTAATTTCGTGATTCCTGACTGCATTGTAATTAATTTGAGCTATTTTGAAGAAGTATAAAGAACACAGTGTTCGTTAATTTTAAACATAGAAACAATGTCTTACTTAGGAAGAGCTCGTAAGGAAGATTTGCAAAATCTTGCGGCTGAACTGGGAGTTCATGTGACTGCAGATTTGAAAATAGTCGATTTAAAACAGAAAATTGTTGAAACTAGAGATTATGATGAAGTATTCGTCAAAGGAGTCTTAGACACAATAATAGAAGAACGGAAAGAGAGGGAGAAAAGAGAAAAAGAGAGGAAAGAGAAGAACGGAAAGAGAGGGAGGAAAGGGAAGAACGTAGGAGACAGGAAGAAGCAGAAGAGCGGAGAAGGAACGAACAATATGAATTAGAGAGATTAAGACTTGAAGCAGAGACAAAGTCTCAAAATATAGGACAGATCCTGCCGAAAACGGAGCTGCGTCACCTTATGCAGAAATTCGATGACAAGAAAGGAGGGTACTATTCGGTTTCGAGGGCCGTAAAAAATCGCCTATTGTTGATGCCAATGCTGCCAAAAATAATTGCGGCAACCCTAATAATTGCGGCAAGAAAGGAAGTACTATAATAGTAAATAACTATTTAAGGTTGATGTTTTAATTTAGATGAAAGGTTAATTTCATAAAATACTTTATTATTATAATTTATATGAAAAAGGCTAAACATGACTGAATGGAAGCATAAGAGTAAATAACTATTTCAGATCATTATTATAATTTATAAAAAAATTGCTAAGCAGAACAGAATGGATGCCTGCATCGCTATTTCCCTACCGACTTATCGCTAAAGCATAATTTCATCTCGTTGGTTGTTCAAAAGTAATTTTCTATACTGAATGATGCCTTTCCTTTGAAAATATTCTCGGTAAAGTGCAGAATCGCTCACTTATTTGTTTTCTGCTTTTTACAAGGGTAAAAACAATTAGATTTTTGTCAATTTTCTTTTTACTTTTTAAGTGAAAATAGGTCGATGTGTACATAGATAAAGTCAAGGGTGTGCGCAGTGCCATTTTTGTGCAATTCTAGGATTTTTTTAAAGTAAAAATAGGTCGATGTGCACATGGATACCGAGTATTTGCAATTCTTAAAAACGCGTCAAGCAGTGGGTGATTCTGCACTTTACCCAAAATTCTATTGCCGACTTTTCGTCATGAGCAATTCCCAAATTGTGAAATCCATAGGATATCAAAAAAGGATTTAAAAACAAAAAATAATTTAAAAATTAAACTAGTATTTCAATGGCGTCTTAAGAAATATAGAACTAGTATAAACTTGCGCAATCTGAAATCAGCGCGTACACTAGATTTGGCGCGCTGTTAAATGGGCGCGTTTGCTAGATTTGGCGCTTTTGCGCGTACATTTTCGCTGCGATATTTTTACGGCCCTCGAAACCGAATAGTACCGAAAGGGGATATCAGTCTATATTTGCTCTTGTTTGAAAGGCAAGCAGAATGGGCTAAAATTGATAAAGAAGAATTTGTATCTCATTTACTAGGACTACTTCCTTACGAAGTAACCCAGTTAATAGCTAGAGAACCCTCCGATTAAGCTAAAGGCTATGAACACGTGAAGGATTTATTGTTAAGACGGTTTAAACTAAGCCCGGAAAAGTTTAAGCAGAAATTTATGAAACATCAAAAGAGTACCGAATCCACATGGGTGCATTTCAATTATGAAATAGAAAATTATTGCAAAGAATGGGTGACTGGTCTAGGAGTTAAGACTTTTGATCAGTTGCTAGATTTGATGGTGATTAACCAATATAAACGTCGAGTTCCTCCTGAAATTCGAGATCATTTTCTTGACGAGTGGGTAGAGATGATTTCATCTAAAAAACTAGCTGAAAAACTTGATGCCTATGAAAACGTTTGCGGAAACTGTTTTCACAATGTGTGCCGTTTTCACAGCATTTATCCTTCAAAACCAATTACATTTTATCCCAAGTAATCTGTCATTGATTTTGCAAAACAAATTCCATAATTGGCAAAAATAAGACAAACGAACAATTAAATATTCATTACGTTTATTTACACAACTTGGCAGCTTCAGAGCCGAATTAATACATAAAACTGGTTAAATAAAAACATTCATGTGGACAAGCATTTACACACGGGGAAAGAGGTACTTTTGATTTTTCTCTGTACGACATTACAAAAAATTTTATAACACATAAACAATGCAGAATCACTTAATATTACGCCAGCAGATGGCAGCACTAAACCAATTTCCCCTTGTGAATAGACAATGATTACAGAAAATGCTACATTTTGGCACAGTAGAGTAGCAGCTGCTGCAAGATTAAATATGAAAAAATTTACAACACGAGAATTACTAATATTTAAACAGGAATGGTTAAACATCAGGAAACTCTTGTTAAATTATTTGTAAAATAAGTAAATTAAGTAACATTATGTTCTGTTCAATAGGAACACTTAATTGTCTTTAACATTGAGCTATATTATAATGTATACACAAATTGAAAATTCGGTATGACACGAGATGAAATTCTGTCAAGTCCCATTTGTAGTAATAAATACATTCTTTGTTTTAAAACTGCGTTATAACATTTTAATAATTTATACTGATTCATGCGACAGCATTGCAACAATATATTAATCAATATACTCAGTTTTGAATGCAATTGAATTAGTCTAAAAACAAAGCGCAGCTTACGGTTATACAACTTGCATGGTGGTAATATTCCACTTGGTCAATAAAATATTTAAAATTTAAATTATTTGAAGAAATAGTTCCTCTGGCTAAAACAGATATTTTAGGCACGTTCCTTCTCTAGACGTTTTTTCTTAGAATGACTAACAGTCAAAAACAAGAACAAACCCAACAAAAGGCACACCGCATGGAACACAATAACGATACTGATTGGCTGATACAGAGGCCACTGTTCTTGAGCACCACGAAATTTCAAAGCATCTAAATCTGTGCCTATGCCACATTCTGCTCGCATTAAGATTGTATTCTCTTGCTGGACGACAGGGTTATGGCTGCAGGCATACCGGAAATCTTCACCAAGCGAATTGTTGAACTCATTCTGGACGAGTTCCTGATAAACCCAGCGAACTGGTGACATCCAGTGTGCCCATGAAAATACCAAGGACAAGTCTTTGAAGTGTACCGTGTAGCCAGCAGAGATGGCAAGGATGGTGAAGATGAATCCAGCCCAAGAGGCGGCGATATGCCGCGAAGAACAGGCCCAAGTGCAAGCGAGGACCATCATGCGAAGAGTAAGAAGATAAAGGATCATATAAGCGATGTAAATTCCAAAAGGACGGACTCTAGATGTTGTCTGCAGGCCAGCCATTGAATATGCTGGAACAGCATATGCTACCGCTACCGCAGCTGCAGGAGCTAAACTGTAGGTTAACTAGAAAGAAAAAAAATATTCTTTCACATGACAAAAACTATTCACAATAAAAACAAAATATTACATTTTTAAAAATAATCTTTACAGATTTTTGTTTACTTTTGAGTAACCAATATGACTTGGGCAGTGATGGCCAGCTGGTGATCCACAAATCCCATGCATTTGGTAAGGCCCACAGATAAGTTAGTAATATTTATTACTGACAAGTGGCTTTATTTCATTTAAGTACTATACATTTTCCTACTTCAAGACAGCATATTTTATTTCATATCTATAAGGTAACGGTTCTAAATATTTGGTAAATATTCCATAATATTTGGCTCATGGCGTCAAAGCAATTTAAATTGACCTTCGTAGGTACAGAAGTTGCTCATCACTGGTAGATGACTTTAAATTTTAACACTCTTGCAAAAACTTCTATGCACCCAGAAACATTTGAGCCACCACTACGAAACGCTGCAGGCAAACGCGGTTTAGCAAGTTGTGTAAGTGGTTAAGCTTGCAGTCCCAATTGGCCTTAGGGAGCAATACAACGCGCATCTAAAATGCGCAGCTAATAGAAAGTAAAAGGATAGGTGCGGCGACAGACGAGCATTTACAACCGCGTTTTAAGCTTAGTTATACGACATTGTAATGAAAGATGACTTTGAGATATACTCGACGCCGTTACGAACAGTTGTCTGATTTTGAGAGTGGTAGCACCATAGGGATAAAAGTGTCCGGTTGGTCCAACAAGGGTATCGACCTGCATATTGGTCGAAGCTATATGGTCATTGCCCTTTGTTGAAAACAGTGGTTCAGCGAAGGCAGTCAGCCACCATAGTGGATCCGGACGTTCTCGGGCCACCAATGCGCCAGACGATCGCGCAATTAGAAGAACTGCTACAACCGCACCAACAGTTACGCTACCGTCGAATCAACTCCATTTCCCGGGATATCCAGAGATACCATTCGCAGAAGACTAGGTGACGCTGGGCTTAGATCTCGACATCCATGAAGACGCTTGCCATTGGCATTCCATTATAAGTAGAATGGTCTTGCAACTTGCTGCTCTCATTGAAGCTGAACAATGTCCGATTGGAGAAATGTAACCTTCAGCGACGAATCCCGCTTTTTTCTCAATGCTGATGACTGCTACATACGTGTCTGGATGCTGAGAGGTGAGAGGTTCAATGTATCATTTGCAACCTAGCGGCACACAGCCAGAACACAGGTTCTGACAGTCTGAAGAGCGATCAGCTGGGACAGCCGTTCACCATTAGTCGTACTGCGAAGTACTCTGCTCGCAGGTACATTGATGACAATTTTCAGCCTATCGTACTATTTTAGAAGGTCGTTCAGGCTCTGTTTTCGAGCAGGGCAATACTCGGCCACATACAGCACTGTTTTTCAATTCATTCTGGGTGAATATATTTTTTTGCAATAGTGTATTTTAGAGCAAATAATTTCAAATATTTTATTTATTATTGAATGTGAGTAAATGCTTTGGGAAAAGAGTCTTATAAAAGATTGAAGGTAAACTGAAGCCTAGTATGTCCATACTGCTTATTGGAACAGATCTTGTCAAGACTTACAAAATTTTCCTTTTTTAAACAGTAGTTGATCGAGGAAAAATTCTATATAGCTGTGATATTCTGTAAAAACTTAATTTTCTAATTAATTCTAATTATCACAATACATTCTGTTAAATATTGAAATCCTTGGTCAATAAATGAAATATTTAAACATGCTTAAACAAGGATCATGAAAACATTAATAATGAGTACAGTTGGGAATTTTAAATTTTGAAGAAAATATTTCAACTCTTTAAATCCTACTTAGTACATTTTACTTGATAATTCAGTAAAGCAAAACTGTAGGATATTTCCAAAGTAACCTTGAAATTTTATGAATTACACGATTTCTGGCAATACAGAGTGAAATGAATCATATTCGCACCATGAATAAGCATTAAATTTGAGCCTAAATACTTTCTTTATTCAAGAAATTATCACTTCAAGATATAATTAAAAATAAATACTTTATGCTTTATATCAAAAATTAATACTTTACAAAAAAGATGCACACAAAATTGGATAAATTCCAAGAAAAGTCAGTTAAATCATATCCTTTCAGTAGAAAAATTTACTGTTAGAAAGAAGAAATAAGATTAAATAAGAAAGAAGAAATAAGAAAGAAATAAGATTAAATAAGAAAGAAGAAATAAGAAAGAAATAAGATTAAATAAGAAAGAAGAAATAAGATTAAATAAGAAAGAAATAAGATTAAATAAGAAAGAAATAATATGAATAAGAAATAAGAGGTTCTTCTAAGCTTAGAAACAATACAATTATAATTTTAACTAATTAAAAATATACTATTTAACTATTTTAACTATTTAAAAATACACAACAATTTAGTTTTGCAAATGAATTTATTTATAAACTATTCAACTAGGTAAATTTAAAAAATAATTTTGGATCATTATTATAGAAATGAATTATCAACTATAAAATAAACACCATAATATGATATTTATACTAGTGTATAATACTGTTGCTATAATTATACACTAAAAACTATCAATTATAAAACGTAAACTATAATATGATTACAGAAGAAAAGTTTCTCTAGAAAATTTAAACACAGAAATATATTTAACAAGTATATTTATTTCATATGAACTTTATAGTGGTGAACATAGATAAACAGTACCTTATTTGTCAATTCTTCCTAAACCAATATAATATAATGCCGGTAAGCTACGGAACTATATTTTTATTCTTTAGAGATTATTTAAGATTCAGAATCTTATTCTTCTGAGTCCTCTCCTTAACTCCATAATGATCCAAATCTTTTAAAGTCATGAACAGTGTTGTCATGTGACATCTTCTGAATGTGTAAATAGCAAACCATAAATGCCAGGAGGGCCTGGTTACTATCCAAGCCTCAGGCCTAAAATCTTATTTTTTCTCCTTATAAAAACGGAACAACTAGGTTTTGGAAACATTTGAAAGGATCTCTGTCTATGGTCCAGGTTGTCTTGATTAAGCCCATGAATGTGTGCAAAGCGCAATGAAATTTGGAAAAATAAAGCTGCAATTTTGAGAAGAAATCCTTTTCAGAAACATTTATAACGGAAAAGTGATACTAAGAACAAAAAACATTTTTTTTTACAGAGTTGAAATATGTGCATGCGTGTATAGAAATTACATTTGAAAACTTTTACTCAGAGCTGTGCATCAACTGCAAGTCTTCCATTGCAATCTTCCATTCCATTCCATTTTTATCAAGAGCTTGTATACTTAACGAACAGACAACATAAAAATATCTTGAATGATGAGGTTTTCAGGCAATACTTTACAACCCTTTCATTATATTAAGAAGAACAATTTTCTTGTTTTAATATTATTATTTAACTAAATTATCTATTAATAAACAACACTTTAAGTATTACTTGTTGATATATATTTTATCTAGGTAAGAATATCTTTACACTTTGGACAGGAACTATACACAATCCAAAATTTATAGAAACAACTTTCTATTCTATATAATGACAAAAAATTTACATTGTTAGGTTCTGCTCAAAAAATTGTTCTTACCAAAAAATTGCTAGTAGGCAGAATGATTTATGCTTTTTTTATTAGGATTTATACTTCATTTTCAGTTTTATTGATGAAATTATTTTACTAATTTTTAGTTTTCAGTCATTTCCTTTTTGTTCCTGAAATTATTTTGCTTAAATATTTATTATGATTTATGCTTTATTTTCATTTTTATCCTTTGCATATTTTAATACAAATTATATTCTGCTGCATATTTAATTTTTGCTACACTTATTGCTTTGGTTATTTTGTCAATGCGCAGAGTGTTTTGATGTGAAAAAATGTCCATGTATTTCATGGAAGAATGGTTGCCAGAGGATCAAGGAGGTTGGATTTCTACTTCCACACCTAATTTTGAGGGAAAGCATCGGGGAGGGGGGGGAGTCCGTGGATCTCCCACCCCTCTTCTGTACCTAAGCATGTGATAGGTTTATAAATAAATATTTCTTTGTTTATTTAAAAATCGCCATAGCAGGTGAAATACTAGTTACATTAATAAAAACCATACCACTGGTAATACTTCGCATTAAATGCAACAAATTCTCAATTAAAGTTGCACACTAATTTAAGACGTATCATGAAGTTATTCAAAGAAAGGGTGAAGACTTAGCTTATAAATCACTGTGGAAAGAAATTGAAGTTAGCACACTTCTGAAAGCACTATTAATGTCAAAATGGGAATTTAAGGTTCTTTAATAATTTTATAGAAATTTTTACATTGAGCAGGAACTTTACACCTCTTTATCTTGTTCGTGAATTATTATTGCGAATTAAGAAATTGTCCAAAAAGTTCAAGCAAAGGTTTGGAAAGAGATCTTTTCCTAAAATGAGGGCCAAACCAAGATAGTTTGGGTTTACAAGGTGGAGTATTCTTTCAAGAGCCCCAGTGTCCCTTTTCCTTCTTATTATACCAGGGACAGAGGCATATGAAAATATACAGGATGAACTGAAGTTCCTAGGCTTGGCCTTTGTAGGCCTGGGTAAAAATTTTACTGTGCATAAAGCCACATACAGATGTGATATACATAAATTTGGATATAATTTTATATTTTTACATTAAACTACATACGATTGATGTATAAACAGGAAAATAAATAAAATTATTTTTAAATATTTTGACAAATTTGGAAATAAAAAAATTATTGGGGTGCACAGATAGGAAAGTCAGATGCTCCAACTTTACATTAAATTACAGATAATCACCAATTATTTCGCATTTATGTCGTTTAACAATAAAAGTATCTATATTTGTAAATGCTACTCACTTTACAGATAACGTAAGTGAACTTGTGGTACAGTCTTTCTCTTGTGTCACGAACAACTGTAGCTTTTTCTTTCCACGCTAAAAAGGAAAAGAAATTTCAAATAAACTGTTAAAAAATATTTCTTAAATAAGAAACACAGTTTTAATGTTCCCGTTGTTAAATTTGAAAGATTTATTAAATTTCCATTATAAATTGAAAAAATTTAGAGATAGAACAATTAAATTTGCTTATAAACTGTTCCTAAAATCACTCAAAAATTCGTAATCATGTTAACTGCATTAATCCGATTCCATTAAGTATTAACTGAACACATTTCGAAAAGAATAAATACTCTTGAAAAAAAAATTGTAACAGAAATGTTTTATTTGAATTGTTTATTATATAAATTACAATATTTATAACCTTTGCGCATTTTGAATAAACCGGTCATACATTGAATTTCCCATATGTAGATATAATCCCTCCACATATGTTAAAGAGGTATTATGCTTAATACCTTCAAAAAATTTAGGGCTTATTAACTGGTAAATAAAAATCACTATTAAGCATTGTACTTTTCCGAATGTTTTAAATACCCATAAATATGTCGTTTGAAAGAATTTCATCTTCACAATTACACAGTTTCTTATTTTAAAAGATGACGATAATGAATTTATTCATTGAAAAACAGCAGAATGATGGTGCCTAATGCAGGAGAAAAATACCCGAGAGAAATTCTCAGTTCTATAATAATTTATCCTTCGATACATTAATCAGGGAATTTACGACATTCATGTTTTATTGATTCTCAAGCATTCTACTTGATCCCCATTATAGCCTCAACTGAGATTTATTTTCGGTACATTAATTCCGAAATTATACTCACATTAAATAAATGAATGTTCTTTATGTTCTTATTCAATACATTTAATCCTTTATTGTATGAAAATGCAGTACTTTCAAAGATGATATGCGCTTTTACTTTAGGAACAACACTTTAAAATTTAATGTTTTCGGAAATCTATTTACAGGAAGCCAGAGAATATCTCATGAAGCCTGAAAGAATTGGTGGAAGACAGAGCACTACGTTCTCAGAAAATAATTTTTATGATCGATTACTGGATCGAATTTTATGCTTGAGTTCAATGCTTGAAATTTTCAGCCAATAAAATCGTCATTTAATCAATATTATTGATATTTTAAATTTCATGCCTACTGAATACACTCATTTAAACCCCATGTTTATTGATGAATTTCAATAATTTCAGCTCAGTGCACGTAAAGAATAAACATTTGAAATGGAAAATACAGAACTTCGCAATTTATTCTGTCAAAGTAATCTCTAAGAATTTTCACTCGATACAATTTTCAGATACAACTAAAATTTTGCTTTGAAAAAGGACAATAACATAATTTAAAAACTCAAATTCGAATGACTGAGCACTGTTCGGCGTTTTAATTTTTATTAAAATCCAAAAGTATAAAATGTATATTTGATAAAATAACGTACGTTGAATTTATCCAAAACTAAATTGCAAATTAAGATAGATAATGTCAACTGGCCTTTTTCAAAGAATCATTGACATTTTGTCTATTGCTTCAGGACAACTAAATAAGTCATTAAAAGTTGAAAAAGTAAAATAAATAATCATTAAAAGTTGTTAAACTTCATTTATGTGGACCATAACATCATAAATTAGATAAAATGACTACTTTATTCTCTTGACATCGTTACCGGAAGTGACGTAGCTGATATCCAATTAACATCTGATTGCAAAACTGTGAACTTTAGTAAGAACTTTTTACCGTTACGCCAGTTTATTTTCATTTATCGTAAGCAGGCTGAAGAATGTTGTGGTAGCAAAACTGACAATGTTTTCAAATTTCCAACGAGCGCATGAAACTTCGTTTGTTTACCGCCCAGCCGGTATAGTGGTTGGTGACCAAAACGCCGTCGCATGGACCTCTGACTTAAGGTTCTACACCAAATCAGAGTTAAGTCCATGCGACGGAAAAAGAATCTACCATCCACCGCCGGCAGCATTCATTGAATCAACGATAGTAATTGCAATGCTAAGTTAACAATGCTATCTTTACAATAATTATTACATAATAATCCATATGAAAAAAATATACAATCAATTAATCATTACATTGCCATGGATAGGATCTATGCTGTGGAGAGTGGAACTTATATATTATCCAGTATCTAAACCTACGTCTACTTCAACGCGTCATAGCTTCATGTTCTTATTTTACACACTTAATGATGTGTGTCCGTACTATTGTTGCAGTTATCCACAGAGTAGGCCAGTCACATCAGTTCAGGTAGTTGATAGTCCCATAGCCCAAAGTTTATGATGTTATGTAGACTATTCTATGTTCATATAAACTGGATTCTAAGTTAACTTTTGATTAATTCGAAGTACACTTTTGTTAAGTTCCTTGTTCACGTAAACACTTGTTCACTTCGATACATCATAACTTCGTGTCCTTAGCAGTTTGCACACCTCATTATGTGTGTCCATAGCAATTTGCACACTGTGTCCCATTTATCCACAAAGCAATTAAGCACTTGCAGTTGGGAAGTTCGCAGTAATATGTACACTATTTTACTATTATCCACAGAACGGTCTACCGTAGCAATGGGCCTGGATTCGAATCCTGGAGAAGTCATGGTTGTAACCATCTATCCCTTTATAGGAGGCAAGGATGATGTCCACATATTAGGTGCTTCCATAATGAAATGGCTACCATTTCTAGCCCTTGTAGTGGTGCAAGGCTAATGGCTATTAAATAAAGCGCCCGGCATTAAAAAAACTTCATTTGTTTCAAACTGCTAGAAATTTAACTATGTAGTACCTTTTGTTACAATTACAACAAAGAATGCAGATATTTGTGTGTATATGGCAATGTGGCTATTTCTCAACCTATTTAATGTGAACATTAAAAAAATTAATTATTATTCAGTATCTAGCGGTCATTCACTGTTCCATAGAAGCTCATTTGAGTCTCAGGCAACAGTAACACTGTTTATTTAAGAAGATGAAACAGAAGTTTTGGACCGTCCGATCCGAAGACGGAAAGAAAACGTAATCTTGATATATTCCTCTCTAATCACTGTAGGATTTTGTCCAAACAATGTAAACTTCATGGTAGGCAACTAACGATTTTTTTTTATAAGTAGATCTTAAATATAGCTATCATTTTAGTATTCTGCATTCAAGACACTTACATCCAAGTTACAATCAGGTAAATAGCAACTTCCATTTTGACATAACCCGAAATTACTTTCAAATAATAGAAGTAATAGTTTGGTAAACAAAGCAGCAAGATGAAATGTCTTACCTGTGGTGATTGTACACAGAAGAGTAGGCCATACAGCAATGGCCATGATGACATAATAAAATCCGAACCTGTCATCTACGTGCTCTTGCTCTCGTCCAGTTCGAACGTTCCAATACACAGCCCCCACGCAGACCGACATAAGAGCGGCGATGAAGACCTCACCGCAAAAGTGGACGACATTGAATGGAAATGTGTATATTAATACACGTCTATAAATAAATTTATTCAAATTAATTGAAATAATAAATTTACAGTTTTTTAGAATTATTTCATAATTGAAATTCTGCGCATTAAAGAAAAAATTTAAAGGCTCATTTGACTAACCCCCTGAGACAAGGCAAAGTTCTCAAAAAAACTAATCAAAATTAACTCTTTTAATTCAGGCGTAGATCAATATTGTGGTGTCTCGATTAAGAACACAAGTATCAAAAAATTCCTTTGAACCGAGAGTTCGAAATTCATTTGACTTTGGACCATTTCTATTCAATATAATTCAGACCGCTTTATCATAGTTCATTAGAACAGAGAAAGCTCATCACGCAATCTTAACACAAGTATCGGGTCATAATATAATGGAAGGCGAAATTTTAAGAAAAATAAAAGTTGATTGTTCTATAACGCTCAAAACAAGTAATAAGCACAGGGACTTGACAACATAGAACTGAATTCAAGATATAAAGTTTTCTCTCTTATTACCATATTTACAAATATGCTTATAAATTAACGATGGCAGGATGTGCATAATACCAACACATATTGTAAATTTGTCTTTATTGAAGATCTGGACTAAATTAATTCCCTCAGCAAGCAAACTTAAGATAAAGTCATGCGTTCTTGATTTAGCTTTCCTTGCATGCAGATTCAGATTAAGATAGCGAACTAGATTCCCAGAATTCAGTCACTCAGTTACAGCTCAGTCCGACTGATACGATTTACCGACAGCGCTTTTGACTTTTGGCAAAACAGTATTTCGGCAGATCTGAATCACTCAAGAATTGGTTGGTTTTTTCCCAATACATTTAAAAATTAGAATTGATGACATTTTTCTGGATAAAAATCGGAATTGATTTATTAACATTTTTCTGGGCAAAAAGGAACTTGTTTAACGATTAAACAAGAAAAGTTTAGAATATTTTCAATATTGAAAGAGATTTGCTTTTTCTATTCTTGGACAAATAATCAATGGTATTATGTACAACTTTTCATCTAATAGAAAAAAGAAATTTTAACTTACATCCATAAAGTTAGTACTTGCGTGAAGACACTGGCTCGTTTGACGATGGCCGGAGGTACTCCTGGTGGTCCAGGATCAGCTAAAGGCTCTTGCCTGCGCCTGAAGATCTCCACTAAATTCTCGACTCGTTGGCTGGATTCTAGCATCGCCTCCGCTGACAAATTGTCTAGAGTCACTAAGTCAACTGTAAGAAAAAAGGATGAGCATCACAAAATATTTCGAACCCAGGAAGACAGCGGAAACAAAAGAATTCACTTGATTTTAAAAGACCTAATTAAAATACTGTTCGTTAATTATTCACTGAAACTAATTCATTGAAAACCTGATAATATATGCAATGGTCTGTGACAACCCTTTATAGACTGGGGACATACAAAAGCTTCTTTTCGATAGCGTCGCGGCCGTGTATATTATAAAGACATACAGCAGCTTGATAGCCAGAAATAATTTGAAATACACTGTCTTTACGCAGAATCGGGAACGGGATCTTTAGTATGGTAGATAAATATGCTAACTAATATACCACAAGGGTATATGGGAAGGATGATTTAATTTCTGACATCCATTTTGACAACAGTGGAAAGGTCGAATGACTCATTATGACCTAATTAAGGTCAAGAACCACGGGTCATCCAACTATAAAACATTAACTTCCTTATGCCACTGATATCATGAACGAAGAACGTTCATGAAGACGAAATTTGAATGCGTTAAAGGGAAAGCTAGGCCAACAGAGCAGATCTGAGATTTTATTCACCTCCGCTCCTCGGTCCCTGAAGGCTATGGATTTCAGTCGACAAACTGTGAGGAGGACTTTATCGAAAGATATTTATGCAGAGTCATTTTTATGTTACATTTTATGCATCGATGTAGAATTATCGTTCTTCTATAAGAAAATAAAGTTCTGTTAGAATTTAGTTTAACATGACTTATCAATTGATCAATTGGACAACTGCCTTACAGTCTGTACAGAGTAGACCGAACCCATCAGACGGTGTATGTCAAAGAAATATTCGAATTGCATCTGTTAAACCTCAAATTAATTCTCTCTCTGTATATATAGCTGCCCAGCAAAATACGAAATATTCTGTATCACAAAATGGCATCGTAATCAATGAATCAAAAATCGTAATCAATGAATTTAAAAAATATCAAATTTAAATTAAAATAAACAATTCTTAAGCGTGAGGTATCTTCGCAGGTTTTTTTTATGCATATGTGGTCGTTGAACGATATTCAAGAAAACTATGAAATTAGTAGATGCATTGTAAACAGAATGTTTGTAAACAAGCAGATATGCTCCCCATAATTCCTTTAAGTCAAATTCTAATAACTATCATGAAATATAATGCGAGGCTCCAGCTAAAAATATTAAATGAATGAAAATTAATCTTAGAAATTTAAAATGAAATGGGTTTATGAGTACCAGGTGAGATACTTGCGTATTGGATGAGATGTTAAATGAATAAATGTTGTCATGAAAAATCATTTAAATCAGCAGTTCTTAAACCATATTTTCCTCAAAGGCTCCGCCCCTTGGTGCATTCTGATGGAGCCTTAGCCATTAAGATTTATATTTTTGCTTTTAGAAAATAAGAAAATATTTTCTTGTAACTACCCACTGTAAGGATATTTATAATCCACTGTAAAAATTATAATAATTTAAATTTATATACTTCAGAAAAACAGGTTTGATAAAAATAAAAAGTTATTACAAAGTTTTTGACATTTAATTAAAACGTTTTTTCATTTTTAGTTTACTTGACTATGGCAAAGCAAGTGAGGCCTAGCTGCCTAAGGAAAAGAATGCCTTTGTGGATGATTTTCTAGGAAAAACTGGCTCGTATGCACGTTAAACAGGGGATAACCACGACAACGCCCATGCGACCAGCCCGTTTCCTGGGATTCGAGCCTCGGACCGAACTACCAGTTTTCAGCGACTTTACCGCTCAGCCGCTGGTGAGACCCTTCATTGTTTCAAGCAGGCAGATATTAGATTGATTTGATTATAAACATGTGCACTAGAATTACCTGTTTAAAGGGAACGATCACTGTACACCCTCTGTCTCCGGAAAACTGGCTCCCATTTATACCACACGTGCGGAAAGCCAGGAAATGCCCTGTGTAGTCAATCCGTTCACCAGATTTTGGAAATGTGTGTTCAGCTGTTATTTTCTCTGCAAAGGTGGATTCGTATTGAAAAGATGTGCTGGAAGTGCGGTAACTAATTTAATTTTGGAAACATGTGTACATAAATTTGATTCGCTAGCTCACAATTTTAATAGTTGTCATAAACACAAGGGTAGATGAAATTTTTCCGCACAAATAATGGAAGTCGTTTCACTTTTCAAACTGTTGCCACAAAATGTTAGAGTCCTGCATTATACGTATTTCAAGAAATTAAATAATAAAGAATCTGCATAAATGCATGTATATTCTCGCATTGTGAGAAAACAACGGTACATAGAGCCATCGAATTTTGAATGACGTAATCCTCCTACGAATATGTGCATGTGGAAGACCAAATTTGAAATTTGGAATTTGTTTTATTATGGATTTCATATTCTATAAAACAAATTAATTTTTGAAGAACAAACTCAACGTTTTAAAAGCGAGCAATGGCAACACTCTAACGGGAGGGGACCTTTTTATCTCCAGCGCGTAGAACTGTGTATCGGAAATTCTAAAGATAGGTTCATTATAAAATTATTTTGCGACATTGTTATTGAACTAAATTTTATGGTTTTAAGTGCAAAGAACATGATATTTAATAAATAAAGGTAACACACAATACGTTAAAAAACGCCTCTTTGGACGTAATTTAAAATCTGAAACATTTCAGATTTTTTTTCATTTCTTAATATTTTAATATTTTTATTATTTTAATTTAATTTATTTATTTTACATTTTTATAATGATGTGAGATAAATTTCGTTTCACGAATCACTCGCGGACTTCCAATTATTAATTTTTGAATTCCCAGCGCTGATTTAGACAAATGAGAAATACAAAATTACAATTTAAAGTGTTTAAAAAATTAACTATAACCATAATATTTTTAAAATATTCCTTTGCGTTATGAATAAAACTTCATGCTAGCTCCATCATGTTGCAAAGTTAGTATTCTTTTGGTATAAGGTTCACACAAACGGGAGCTCTGTTATTTCAGAAGTTCAACGACTTCTATTCCGAATTATCTGATGAGTGAAAAAAAATCATGACGCCTTCAGATTGCATTACTGAAACAAAAGCTACAAAAATTTATCGGCTGAAGACTAAGCCAGCGATTTTCTTCCAAAATAGCCCTCAAGAAATTCATTGAAAAATCGCAAAACCCTGAGGTCTTCAACCATATCGAAACAATTCTATCAACAAATTACTGTGCATCAAGATTTTTTCTTTTAGCAACTTTCGATCAGTAAATCCTAGCACCAATAACCCGCAGCACTGATAAGACGAAAAGCGGATGAAATTACAGGGAAGGCTCATTATCGGTTTCCGAAATCATCAAGTAGGCGAGCATTTTCACGATTTAGAAGCTACACTATCTCGAAATGGTGCTGAGAAATTGTGGTTTATTCGCCGAACGTTTTGCGAACGAGAGAGGTATACTTACGGTAGTAATCGGACGGGTTCTTGTACGCTGGGCAAGGAAAGTCAATGTACGCAAAGTATGACAGCATGTCCCTCCTTCGACCAAAGTACAGCATTCTTCCGGTGGAAATCATGGCAACTGGGGAATAAGAAAAGAAACAATGATGGAAGATGATTAAATCAAAATGAATATGATGACTATGAACAATTAAAACTTAACTGCATCATAAAAACAAACATGTAACTTCCGAACAAATTCAAATTTGCTTGTTTAAAATACCTCCACGTATGAGAATTTCATTAAATTAGAACTGAAATCTCTTTCATTTAATTACCTATGCTATATCTGCAAGTAAATTAGGATAAATAATGAGCAACTTTCATGTTAAAAGTGCATACATAGTCATATAAGTCAGGTAAGTTACTACTAATACGAAGACGATATTCGAATTCCGGATAGCCCAGAAATAAAATTGGGAATGAAGAAAAAAATTAATATACATATAAAAATTAAATACATATTGTAAAAACTAGATATTGTAGTACGTCTTTGTGCCATCAGCTTATCATTTCCCCTGTCATCTTTGTATAGAAATGCCTAAAATAGCAAGGCTCAAGCCATTTGCGAGATCCTATATTATTCTTTCTGTTGTTATCTATAGCAGAATATTGTTGTGTTCTACGGGTTCGTGGATTTGAAGTGATTGACGACAACACTTGATGAAGAATAAAAACAATTTCTTCGCCAGTATTACACAGGAGAATTCCAAAGACACATTTACAGTCGTCGAAAACCTAAGATAAACACTCTGAAATAATCAGCAACACAGCCTTCAGGATACAACGGTGAAGACACCTTCACGGCAAAACTAAAGTACAGCTCCCGACTCGATTCATCGCTCTCAAGCTAACCTCTGAACTCACGGCACCACTACTACTGAACTCAAGATACTCTACTCCACGTATAGAGAGGGAATATACAGCTTTTGACCTGCCTTCGAGAACATTCTCGGGAAAACCGGTAAGAATTCGTTCTAGAATGTTCTCGCTCCGTCTATGCCACATCGCCAACTGTCTCTTAATAGGCGATTTCGCGCCAAATCTGGCAACCCTGCCTTTCCATGCCATTTGTTGGAAACCCTAAACCAGCTTTGTGGGGAAGCTATATTCTTACCGCAGCTGGGTATTTCCTAACGAAATGTATTATCTACGGAAAAAAATAATGCATGAGGTGATATAACCAAAATTTTGAGAACGCCGTAAAAATGATTCCGGATGAGAAAACTATGAAAGAAAATGAGAGGTAATTCATAATTTCCCTCAAATTTCATGAAACCTTCAAACAATGGCAGGTAGGCAGGCAGGCCTTTCTATGACAAAACCCTCATAACAAATGTCAAACTGAAAGCTAGGTACGTAATAGCATATATCTAATTTTTACACATATTAAAGCGCTTTTCTTTAATCTCAATTTTAATTTAAAGCTTTATGAAACTTAATTAAAAGTAGACCTCATATGAAACGATTTGAAATACCCTGCAGAATTAAAGGCCTCATGATTCCGTTAGTCTTAACTACACTGATAAAATATTTTACAGGATTACAAATATCACATTTCAGCTCAAGTTTCTTCGAACAATTTGATATTAGATCATATGGAAGAAGCACCATCGTTTATTAGTTATTAATTGTAATTTCCATTGTTATTTGTGTTAATAGAAAATGAAAGTTTCCTCTACTTTGAAACAGCCTTCCATAAAATTCTACTTAAAAAACTCTTGGTGTGGAGTCTATATTAATCAGGAAGAAGCCAATCGTTAAATGATACAGCAAAACAAGCAAAAAAAAATTTAAAAAATTTCAGCTTAATTTTGAAATTTATAGCATTAGAGGAAGATTAAAATAGTTATTTATTATCACATTAAAAAGTTAGATATTGTGTTTCAATAGATTGTTTTTGAATGATGAATTTCGTAACTGAAAAATTTAAGCTAGATTAAAACGTAGATTAGACTTCCTTTCTCTTAAAATTTCTCTGTTAGATATCTCCATTAACTATAGATTTGATCAAAGAAGAATTACAATGAATTTCATAAAATAAACAATATATTGTGCCGAGAATTTAATGATTTTTACCATCAAGCCAATTTAACAGTATTTTACCTGAAATAAAGTCGCCTAAAAAGTAACGCCTTATGCAAATTTTCGAAGCAAAGTGATAAGAATTTTACAATAAAAGCAGGTTTTAAATTTGTTTCAATACTTCATCTAATACGCATGTGAACAGTTTCGAAGATAATTACTATCTTAGAAAGATTATCTTCCAATAATATAATTTCAGCCATTTTTCAGCAGCAGAACTAATCTTGGTATGCATTTTCCTTTATCTGTGGAAAATATATGGTTGATCTGCTTAAAATCACATCTTGGACTTAATTTCTTTGGCCTTCATAAAGGAGATATTTCGAAATGCTACTTGCTTAAAAACTTCTAACTTTAGATTTCTTCGTGCATATTTCATTAATTCTATTCTCAAAATACATATATTAAAATCTATTGTTTTTCCTTTCCCAAAAAGTATTTCATGATTGTTTCATAACTTACGTCCCTGCGTTCTGTAAGAATAGGCCACCATAAGAATTTCAAAATAAGTTTTCACAAAAAATTCAATTAGATTAAAAATAGGAAACAAACCTCTAGATATCATGGTGAAAATTTCATATGTGGGTGGATGAATCGTCATGATAACGATTCGTCCACGTGCGGCCCATTGACGCAGATACTCTACCAAGAAGAATGTGTCGAATATGTCCATCCCCTTTGTAGGCTGATCCAGTAAGACGATATCTGAAAGGAAAAAAAGTACAATCCTTCAAAATGAATCAAAGATCTGAATTTTATGTTACTGAGTAAAAATTAAGTAATGCTAAAACTGTAAATTTTTTAAATTATTCTTTGACAGTCTGATAATGTCATAGCACATAACCTAAGTTCTGATCTTCTAGCCATTACTAAGAAAAGGTCATAGCAGCAATAGCTTGCATATACGCTAGTGTACAAAAATTAAGCAACGACTTCATTTTACAACATATAACCATCAAATTCTCGAAAAGAGTTTTTATTGCGATCAGTACAAAGTACAGCGAACACAGAAGATAGGGGATGCATATACAAATAATCAGCACCATGACGCCAGACGATAGGTCAAGCCACGCAAAATGCGAGGAATCATTGGCGCGCAGTGCAATGCAACTTGAAAAGGTACATTTTCTAGCAATCTTCTGGAAATGGAAGTGAAATTGCGGCAGCCATACGAGTAATATTGCTACAAGAAGACATCAGGCCTTTACACGTGGTAGAATGACTGGTGTAGTTTTTGACCTCTGTCGCCTGAAAGTTTGGAAATGATAAAAGTTGTTTACGAGCTTGGAAAGCTTTTCAAACAATAGGTACGGCAGTAAGATTGGTGGTCGTCGGCCAAGGAAAACAATGTGTCTGATGATCGATATACTATTATTATGATGATGAAAGGCTTGCAGGCGAAAAGAAATCGAAACCAGACAGTGGGCATCAGTGCTCAAAAGTTGTGGGCGGCAACCGGACGATAGGTATCACTGTTTACTGTTCCCAAATCATTTCATAAACGTGGTCCATTTGCGGTCCTGAACACTGCATACCATTGAAAGTAGCCCTTTAGCATTACCGTTTACAGTGGTCCACAGAACATAAAAGCACATCATCAATGCAGTCACATACTCTTCACCAATGAGTGTCGTTTCAGTCTGACAAACGATTCTGAGCCCCAGTTGATACGGAAAAAGGTAGAGACATGCTTTCATCCCACTGACATCAGATAAAGAGGCCTCTAGAGGTGATCTTAGCATGCTGTATGGTGGCGCATTATGGTATCGTGAAAGGACGGACGGAGCTCCACATTTTCGACAGAAGTTCGCTTACCGGAGATTATTACTGAAGTTATCCTCTCCCACGTGGGTCTTTTTCGAAGTGCCATTCATCTTGACTCTTTTTATGGGTGACAACAAATGGTTACACAGGACTCTCGCTGTTGAGAAGCCCTTGGAAAGTGAAGATATCCAAAGAATGGATAGACCAGCGTGCTTTGATTTAAATCCAATGAACATGTGTTGAATACTTAAAACAAAACCTCTGGAGAACACCAGAGAACTGAAACAGATGCTCCTTAAAGAATTGAGATACTTATCCTAAGAATTGTAAGAAACTTTTGTGTTGAATAACACAACCATTACAATTAGGAGAGGTCATATCTCTTACTGAGACCCTTTGGTTTCTTGTTCTCCCTCTTAGCTAGACAATTTTCTGTATCAACATTATTTTGTCAATAACTTCTTTTTCTATTCGTTCCGTACTGTATGCATCACTCATTTTTTTTTGTTGCTCTACTCTTTGCACCTTTTAAACAATATTGTGCCTCTGCAGTATGAATTTCATGTCTCCCGGCTGATCTTTTGCGGAAGTACGATAAAAATCAAAAATTCGCTTAAATTTTGCACACTAGCGCAATTTAGTATCCTCTGATAAATTCTTCGATTTGCTACTTGTAAGCGTTTTAATGAAGATTAAATGTTCCCTAAAGGTTTGATATCCAGGAAAGGCAAAGGTGCAAGAAATGAAATTATATGCATTAACTACTTTTCAACACAAAAAGACTAAATGGAACATTTCTTTGCCACAAATCAGTTTATCTGTAATTTCAGTGGCTACTGATGAAGTAGTTATAGGCACTTTTCAGTTATCAGTAACTACACTAGTGTGCAAAATTAAGGGAATTTGAGCATTACGCAGAGTTTCTAAAAACTTAAGATTATAGATTTTATTGAAATTTCATATGAATATACATTTAAACAACTGAAAGAAATGTACCATTCAATGATCATTTTAATTACGTATGATTATCATTAAAGCTCATAGCGCAGGGTTGTCCAAAATCCACAATGTGATATTGAACTGTAATGAGCCTAATGGGGTATAGTCCTCTCTCCCAACCAGAATGGTTGAGCAGCGTGGCAGAATAGTGGATAGGAGGCACTTTTTAACTCCGGAGTGTTCCTTGGATGGGGACGGCGAGATGAAATTGCCCTCCAAAGAGCATCCCAAACATTCTGCATAGGATTAAAGTCAAATAGGATAGGATTAAAGATCTGGCTGCCCAATTCATTTCGTAGAATAACTTCACTTTTCAGCTAATCCTCAATCAGCTGAGTCCTACATAGACGAACTTTGTCGTCTATTAATAGGAATCTAGGGCTAACTGTGCCTCTGAAATGTCAAATGCAAGACACTAAGATCTCCTATCTATACCTCATAGCAGTAAGAGCCTTCGTCAAGCACATACACGGGTATATGGGTGTCTAACAAAATGCCTGCCCAAACCACTAACACATCTCCCACCGTTAAGATCCTTTTTCCTGATAACGCAGCGATGGTGCATGTTCCAGACTATCTACAAATACAAGTACGCCAAGAATTAGTATTAAAGCTGAATATCGACTCATCTGTAAAAAGCAAAGTGTTCCACTGAAGTGTGCTCCAAAGCGCATATTGTCTGCACCATGTTAAATGTGCTGTCTTGTATGCTGCAGTGAGCAGGACGCAAACAGCTGGTGTTCTAGTATATAGTCCTATCTCATGAAGCATTCGAGCAACTATACCGTGAAACTTGTTCTCCAGTGGCAGCGTACAGCTCACTCGGATTTTAGAAGCAGCATACAACTGTAAAGCTGCAGCAGTCCGTGTCGCTGCGCTGGCGAGATAAAGATCTTCATTCGTCGTTGTGGTTCTTGGTTGGTTGATCTTGTTCAGGTTTTACCTACAAGGATCCAGTGTGCTGAAAGTATCTTCACAAATTACAGATGATACTGGCACTTCACTGAGCTTTGTAGCCACCTGCGCTTGTAATTCTCAATCTCATTCCGTCATTCATACGTTAGTGGCTACTCATTTTACCCGATACCTTATAAAATTTACACAACTCTTGCGAGCAACCCGTTGAATGTCACGCAGGAGTACGAGCACACAAACCGCGAAAATCCTCGTGCATTTATATCCCCTATACAATCGCGGCTGCGCAGACAAGCACGTGTACGCTTATGCATTCGACTCTGAAGATTTGCATAATTCTTCGGCGGCATTATTAGCACTTTTGATTCAATACTTTTCGCAAAAATAGACATAATTTGCAAATTCTCTTAATTTTACACTCAAGTGTTCTTATCAGCAACCGCTATCAAAAGCACAAACAAGCCAGGCAATTATTAAAAACTGCGAATTCTAGCAGAGAACTGCATCCTTTCGAATGATGTAACACTTTACACTGTGAGTCAAAATTAGTAGTTTTCAAAGTCAGCATGACATTAATGCCAAGAATAGATTATCTGAAAGGTCAAACAATTTTCTTCTTTATGCGCAGTGCAGAACAATGGCATGAATTTATGGAAGATGTAGAAGTAAGTCAGCACTTCGATTCTTCTGAAAAATTTCAAATAATTTTCGCTCCTCTTTTGCACTTCACTTTCAGTCTGACTTGAACTAATTAATAACCACAGTAAATAAGTGTTGACTTTCTTTCTTTAGCAATATTCCGTTTTTACTGAAAACATTCTAAAAATCTATTTTGCAATCCCAGAAATAATGGCAGAAATATCTCAGGCATTTCGGTTTGTAATACGTTTAGTTTCCGTACTGTAACGCAAAGTACCTAAGGAACTTTGCGCATTTCCAAGTTTCTACCTCCCGACAGAGCTCGGGTTTTATCTGAACTCACAGTCCCGTGTAAGAAACCCGAAAGTCTGAAAACGATGAGCTACGTCTGACAGATGACTTTCTAACATATTTGAGATGACATAACCAACTTTAGAAGATAATCCTATGAATCAATCGATTCAGCTTGACAATGATGGCATATTTAGGTAGAAGTTTAATATAGGTATCGGATGTTTTCAGCTGATAGATGTTAGACCCCTCATATGTTAAAGAGACAGAGAGACACACAGAAGCAGAGAGACAGAGACAGGCAGAGAGGACAGGTAGACAGACTGAGATAGAGACAGACAGGGATAGACAAAGATGGAAGAGATAGAAAAAGATAGACAAACAGACATAGATAGAGATAGACAAACAGACAGAGACAGACAGACAGAGATAGACATACAGACGTAGACAGATATAAACAGACAGAGATAGACAAACAGACATAGACAGAGATAGACGGACTTCTGACCAAAGAACCATAATTTAACGTCTCTACAGATGTGCATTATGCCTGCTCTCAAAATGCGTTCATTCGAATAGGCTTTCCAGAATGAATATATGTCGCCACAGATGTTCACATCTTCTAAATTTTTATTAGAAATTTTTACTCCAGTTTGTAATCATGAAATGATTCTCAACATATCGAACACATCTAAAATGCCATGCAGCGTTTCGTTCAAAGCAGAGATCCATCATCTACGGCAGTTTCATAAAAAAGAAACATTTTTTAGAAAGCACAATATGCACTGTAAACAGTTTCCTGAGAGTGCTGTGTAAAGTGCTCTTTCATATTTCTGTAGTTTGAAGGACCATAATTAGATCACCCAGTATTAGACAGGCATACCAGTTTCTCTTGCAGTTCAGATTATAAATCTATATTCTAAATGGTGCAGCTGCTCTGCACTTTTGCAGCAACCAGGAGTTGAATCTCCTTGATGATATTTCAGAACAAATAGACTAAACATATAAAAAACGATCGGAAATCTAGTGAAGATCAAAGGCGCTTAACAACTGCTAAATCCCATCCATACTTACCTAAATGCAAGATTTTTGAGTTGATTCGTCAACTGGTGCTTCTCACTTCTATGCTTTAAGACGGATAAGTCCATTTCTTATATATATGATACATAAACATGGTTCTGTAATTTTTTTTGAATTAAGCGACTCCTAAAATAAATTTCAAAGAATTCGAAAACTTATGTACAAAAATTACAGTTTTTTGAAGGAAAGGGAGTATGTAAACTTACATATGAAAAAAATTATAAACATTTTAAACAACTGTGTATTTATAATTTGAAAAATAGTCGCAGGTTAAAAAATATAGTGTTTTTACAGCAATTTATTTTTATTAAATCTTGGCAGCCAGGCATGTATCGGATTCAAACCTCACCTGTGTCCAGCAAAAGTTGAGAAGCTACATTCAACCTCCTCTTCTCGGATTCTGTCAGGTCAGATACCCGTGTATGCTTCACTTGGCCAAGACCGAGATCCTCCAGAAGAGCATTGATCTGGAAAAAGAAACAGAATTCGTAATTCCACTCGGTCCACCAAATCACTCTTTCCTCCAAGCGGCTTCGGGCGTAACTGAATTTTTTTCCCTCTCCCTCTTCACCTCAAAGTGATTTTATGGGCTTAAGGGAAATGAGATATTTCAACTGTCGAAGTAAAAAGCGAAGAGAAATAGAAGAAAAATGAAGAGAAATACCTTTATGCAAATGAAAACTTAAGGTTTAAAGTAACATTTCAGGAAACGATGCAAATCACCCAACTATTTTTACTTTTAGCTTTACATCAGGTAAGTTTTATTCTACCGATTTGAATTTTGCGATATTAAATTATTATTTAGCACTTTATGCGCATAATTATAAAAAGAATACGAACATTAAATAACAAATCCAAAAGAAATAGTGCGGCTTTAGAAACTGCTGCTCAGATATTCACCAGCTCGCTAAAAATATCAACTACTCAAACCGATCTCCATTTAGATTTGATTTATTAGATTATCGCCAAGCACAATTGGACTAACTCTCTAAGAGAAGCATTGGCTTCCAGGAGACTTTCTTATAGAAACCCGCTCATGTCTTAACACATGAAACAACCATAAAAACGCCCATACAGCCAAACCGATCACCGAGATTTGAACGCGGATTAAAGTACCAGTATTTAACGGTGTTACCTGCTCGGCTGCTACATATTATTTAGATCACAAAATTAAAAACAATTTATATATTGCGTAATATATAAATTCGAATTTGCTATACTAAATATACAAGTCCTCGTTTCCAGGTATTCAATCTCTCGTTCGAGTTCAATTACGACTAGAAACCATGCATTCTATACTTAAATTCGCTCCTTCTAAATAACTTGTCGTTAGGTTTGCAAAGAACACAAGTAGAAACCGTCAGAAAGAGTACCGATTCACAACTTTCGTCACATGAACTGAAGGCTTTCTTAAGGCATGTTATTACAGGAGATCAGAAAATGATTCTTTATGTTAATGTTAAGAAGACAGAGGTTGAGCCAAAAACTAGAAGACGAGTCTTACGAAACCAGGACTGCAGCCAAAAACAATTTTGCCTATGGTGGGATATGGAAGGTGTAGTTTATTTTGAACTGATGGGGAAAAACTCTAGATAATGCAGATGTATCGTGTACTCAAATACATCATTTGGAACTTTTTTTTAACAAACAAGCAACGCGTTTTAATCAAAAACCATACGTGACTCTTGAGAAGAAAAACAATGAATCGCATACTGCAAGAGTGGCTAGATAAAAACTCAAGAAAATGAAATTCTACTCATCTACTTAAACCTTCGTACATTGCCTCTTGTTTAGGTCTCACCAATATTTTCTCGTTGCCCAAAACTTCCATGATGTACAGAAACTTGAACATAATAAATGGAATAAAAATATAATTATTTAACTAAAAGCTTTAAAATGGGATTTAAAAATTTTCTGAAAGTCATTAAAATGGTGGAGACTATATCGGTGATTATTTCATTGTAACGAAAATCCACCTGTAAAACGAAAACGATAGAAATTCTAAATCACGTGCTTGCTGCATACCAAAATCCACAACATTTTATTTCAGCTAATCGTAATCGAAAAAGTAAATGCACGGATGGTCGCGTACCATCTCGCCAAGTTTCAGGGCATTGTTAAGTTGAAGAGCTACACACAGAGTAATCCTTTTGACGAATGAATTCAGAAAAGACGCCTCTGAGCAAAAAGCAAAGTAGGTGAGAAATGCTATAAAATATAAACCGTCAAACACGAACTCCGTTGCGAAATGCTTCAGCTCGCTGGAAAATTGAGGGGGAGGATTAAACAAATGGAGGTGAGAAAATCCGCCCCTTCAGGGAAGACGCTCATGAGTACTTTCGGAAGCATGCGAGGAAAACAAGTTCGATGTCTAATGCTCTATAAAACATCGATATCGAAAGATTTCGTTAGACATGTGCGGTGAACTTTGTCAACACGTGTAAATATATTTTAACTACACATTGTAAAAAGAGAAATAGTTACAAATTAGCGATAATGAAAATATACATTTTTCAGGATTCAAAGGAAAAGTTATCTGGAATCATGTAACTGCACAAAATATTCACACTTTACATGATTTTTCTAATAATGCGTCGAGTTTAAGTATTACGTTGAAACGAAATTGTAACCAAATACATATAATCAAATATATAAACCAAAAAAGAAAACTCTGAAAACTTTCAGATTTTACATTACGCTCGAAGTTTTTTTCTTTTTTAAGGTTTTTGTGTTACCTTTATTTATTATATAACATGCAAGTTCTTCGCCCTTAAACCATAAAATTCAGTTCAACAGAAATATCACAAAACAATTTAAAAAGAGCAAATCGTGGGAATTTCCGATACACAATCTTGCGCTGGAGGTAATCCCCTCCATACAATATTGCCATTGCTCGCTTTGAAATCGTCGAGTTTATTAATGAAAAATTTGTTAAAGTTTTACGAAATATGAAATAGATAATAAGACAAATTCCAAATTTTAGCTTCCAAATGCTCATATTCGAGTGGAGGACTACTTTAATGAAAATTTGATGTCTCTAGGTACCATTGTTTTTTCACAATGCGAGAAACAAACATTCATGCAAATTCTTCGTTATTTAATCGCTTTAAATATAATGCAAAGCTCTAATATTTGGTGGCGACAATTTGAAAAGTAAAACGCCGTTTTTAGTTAATTCAAAATGCCAAAACGAAATAAATAGCTCTTCTGGGAAAATAGCCCCTTTGGCTAAAAATAGTTTTTTTACACGTTCATTTCTCGTGCACTTAGTTGATGTCCCACTCCTACCACTCCGGTGAAAACTCAGTATTCTGAAAGGCATCTTTTTTTATTATTCTATAAGCATCAATGTCGCGTAAAAATACGTTCCAGGCCTTTGATCAATTAACGTTTACTAAGGGGAACTCAATTGCTAGCATTAATTTGTAAACAGTCCCTAACCTTCTCATTTTTTACAAGTTTCAAACACAAGTTATCAGTCGTAAAAGAAAGCATTTAAATTTCATTCATGGGGAATTTATAAAGTTTCTCGGAAATGCAATTCAGTAAACAGGCCAAGCCCAAGAGTTTTTCAAATTCAGATGAAATAAATATGTAACATATTTTTAACAGGAAACAAAAAAAGAAGACTTCAACACCACAGCAATCCATGCAAATGGAAGACTTCAACCACAGCCATCGATGGAAATGAAGACTTCTACCACAGCCATCCATGGAAATGACTTCTACCACAGCCATCGATGGAAATGAAGACTTCTACCACAGCCATCCATGGAAATGAAGACTTCTACCCCAACAATCCATGTAAATGAAGACTTCTACCCCAACAATCCATGGAAATGAAGACTTCTACCCCAACAATCCATGGAAATGAAGACTTCTACCCCAACAATCCATGGAAATGAAGACTTCTACCTCAGCAATCCATGGAAATGAAGACTTCTACCTCAGCAATCCATGGAAATGAAGACTTCTACCTCAGCAATCCATGGAAATGAAGACTTCTACCTCAGCAATCCATGGAAATGAAGACTTCTACCTCAGCAATCCATGTAAATGAAGACTTCTACCTCAGCAATCCATGTAAATGAAGACTTCTACCTCAGCAATCCATGTAAATGAAGACTTCTACTACAGCAATCCATGTAAATGAAGACTTCTACTACTCAGCAATCCATGTAAATGAAGACTTCTACTACAGCAATCCATGTAAATGAAGACTTCTACTACAGCAATCCATGTAAATGAAGACTTCTACTACAGCAATCCATGTAAATGAAGACTTCTACTACAGCAATCCATGTAAATGAAGACTTCTACTACAGCAATCCATGTAAATGAAGACTTCTACTACAGCAATCCATGTAAATGAAGACTTCTACTACAGCAATCCATGTAAATGAAGACTTCTACTACAGGAATCCATGTAAATGAAGACTTCTACTACAGCAATCCATGTAAATGAAGACTTCTACTACAGCAATCAATCTTGAGGGTAAAAACTACAAATTTCAAATTCTGAAAACTAAAATTAATGCCTCTCCTTTTGATTTCTAGGAAGCTTTCGAAATTTTCTCGTATAGCAACTTCGGCTTCGTTCCTATCGGAAGTACAGACGAATCTGTTCCGATCCCCATATCAGACGTGGATTAAGCATTATGGCTTATACTTCAAGTGTTTACCGTAACAACGCTACGATAAAGCTGAGCTAAGATCCAACGAAAGTAATATTTTCATGTTTATTTGTGCAATTATTTACAATGAATTACCACATTTGTTTACTGTTTAACTATACAAAATTATACTTGTTGAATCTCAGATAAAGGAGTTCATAAATTAAGGAAAATTAACCAAGTCAGTAACTTAATTTCACAAATCATTTATAATGTTCTCACACTGTAAATCTTCGAACTGCCATCTTATGCAGCATTAACCTCAATCTGTTAAATATACTTGGAGTGGTGCTTCTGACAATAGTCATAATTTAATTCTTTCGGAATTCATGACGATTATCTACGGCATGAACTGAATATTTCTTACTGTATAACGTCGGTTTATTCGCTATCTGCTAGACGCGTCGCATACACTAATAACAGTTGCAAGACGATATGCGAATTGTACTCTACGCATGCAACCTAGAGCATAAACATTTCTTAATACCATTTTCTGGTATACGCCGAAACATCACATCAAAAACATTGCTAACAAAAATGTCTCGGAAAAACAACGCAAAGCGAAAACCTAGTCAACAAAACATCGTAGAAGAAAAGAAGGCAAAGAGAAAAACATGGCAATCCCAGAAACACTGCAATATAAAATATGGTCGTCGAAAATTAAAGAGCTTCGAAAAGATCACAGTTTTAAAACATCGGCGTAAAAAATAGTGGTAGAAAATGAATAAATAATCGCATAATTTGGTTTACTTAATTACGGCAAAGCGCACGAGGGCTATCTGCCTAAGGGGGGG